ACGCCATATTGAAAATTAATTAATAACTCGTTTTCCACTTAAAATTTCTGAACTTTTAAGCTTTTATTTTGAAGTTAAAACTTTAGACAAGTTTCTAGTGTCAATTTTAATATGAAATCCTTTTCCATTAATTATTTATTAACATATTAATTTATTATCATTTCTAATATATCGAGACGCCGATTCGAAAATTCATTAATTATTCATTTTCTAATTAAAATTTCTATACTTTTAAACTTGTATTATGAAGCTAAAGCTTTAATAAAGTTTCTCTTATTAATTTTAATATGAAATTCTTTACCCTTAATTATTTATTAACGATTAACTTATCATAATTTCTAATACGAAAATTCAAGACATCAGTTTGAGAATTAATTAATTATTCGTCTTCTAATAAAAATTTTCTGCACTTTTAAGCTTTTATTTTAAAGCTAGAGCTTTAATCAAATTTCTTCTATCAATTTTAACGTGAAATTCTTTTTTATTAATTATTTATTAACGATCAATGCATCGTAATTTCTAATACATTTAATAAATAATTAATGGAAAAGAATTTTATATTATAATTGATACGAGAAACTTATTTGAACCTTTAATTACAAAATATAAACTTAAAAGTGCAGATATTTTGATTAGAAAACAAATAATTATTTATTGTTCAAATCGGCGTCTCGATGTATTAGAAATTACGATGCATTAATCGTTGAAAAATAATTAAAAGAAAAGAATATCACGTTAAAATTGAACAAGAAACTTGCTTAAACTTCTAGATTCATGAAATAAATTTAAAAGTTCAGAAATTTTTATTTGAAAACGAGTTATTAATTAATTTTCAATATGGCGTCTTCAATATATTAATTCCTATGACGCGTTAATCGTTAATAAATAATTAATGGAAAAGAATTTCATATTAAAATTGGTACAAGAAACTTGTGTAAAGCTGTAGCTTCAAAATGCAAGCTTAAAAGTTCAGAAATTTTAAATAGAAAACGAGTTATTAATTAATTTTCAATACGACGTGATTAAAGATTCTTTCTGTCCTTCTTGCACAATGTTGCGTACCTTGTCTGTGACGTCATACAGTTCGCATACCTCCTCGTATATTCTGCTATGCTAGTAACAAGTCGGAGCTTCTGCGATCCAAACGCGAGATGGCGTTACTCTCGGAAACTTTTTGATCACTCTCTAATTTATCGACAAAATGTATATTGTCAACAATTAGAATATCCTTAATGTGAAAGATATAGATTTTTTTGGCTTTGTAATGTATCTTTAAGACAGTGATTTTGTAAAATATATTTTTATACGTGTACCTGGTGATATATATGAAACGAATAGTTATTTATAATTTGTTATTGAAATTTAGTTTAAATTCCAACTGTTATTCACAACATTGCAATATTAAATGTTATGTTTATTCTATACCTCACTTCTACTGAAAGTTTCAAATGAATTCATTCTCGTTATGAATTTTAAATAGACTGCTTAATATATGCTTCGATTATTAAAATCATACGTGACAAAACTATTAGAATATTGAGAAAGCGATATAATTTTACTCTCGATAATGAATATACTCCTTCGAAATATGATTGTTGTGATATGTAGTACGAAATATTCGAAATAATAGAAAGTGTTTTCAATCGAAGTTTCATTTGTGTTATAATATATAATATATAATGATGATATTAATATAATGAAATAGATTCGATATATTTATGATATAATTTTATTATATAGGCATGCAGTTCGTCGTTTTGTACAAGAGAATCAAGGATTAATGAGACGCATGTATGGTGACGAAAGACATATTAACGTATTAAGAGCAGAATTTGAGAGAAATGATATAGAATTAAAATACGATGATTATTATCATCATTTTTCAGATGATCATAGGTAAGTCAAATATCTATAAACATTTGATTCCCAATAATATACGTATTTCGAATAATATTTTCCTTATTATAATATTATTTTTTAATCGATTATTTATTTATCTAACGACAATTTAGAAAATACCAGTACAGTCACGATTACGAATATTTCGAGGCGGATGATGATTTAAAATTGAACAACGAATTCAGGGACGAGGGACGAGGTTTTACGAGTAGATCGTTCAACGATAACGTTGCAAAACGATTAAACAAATTTCCAAAATTAAGCGAATACACAAGACCTCATTTTCGACCAACGGAGAGAACCTCGACTATTTCCACTTCAACGACGACAACTACTGCTGCGCCACCAACAACTACCATTTCATCTACCAAGGAAAATTCATCGACAATGATTATATCCTCGACGATTGTTTCGACCACTGTTCGTGAATCAACTACGAGAAATACTCCTTCGATGACAAGTTTGGTAAATAGCACGAACGAGGAAAAGAAAAACTCGTCAGACGAGGTAACGACATCGCCTACAGTCACAAGTTCTTATACAGTGAAAGAGCAAAATTTCAGTATCAATGAAATTTCCGAGCAAATAGACAGAATAGACGAGGTCGTTGAAGAAGCTGGCGAGGTTATAGAGGTTTCTGAATCCAACATAGAGGAAACAACGACTATGAATTTTCCCGGTACTACCGAATTACCGGATGAACTCGATGGAAGCGAAGATTTATTCGCGACACCGAAAGAGACGACCGTTCAAGAGGAGGAGACATCCAACTCGAACGAGCAACAAGAGTTCAGGCCACGACCAGAATATCGACCGAGTAAGCCGGAAGTTTCGACTATGGAAGGCCAGCTGTATCAGGATGTCGCGGCGAAAGATCAACAGGAACAACCGGTTCTTAAACTTCGAGGAGTGTAAATGTCGTTTATTTTGTTTGTATGTCGATCCAAAAATGTTTGATTTTTGTCCGAAAAATTAAAATTTTCACGATGAGTATAATTAAGATTAAGAAAAAAGAAACAATATAATTATAATATAGTTATGATGTATTATTTTGCATTTTTTGTAAATGATAAAAATATTTCAGGAATGCTTGCCCTGTAAAGGAGGAAGTGGTTGCACCATTTTGGGCGAACAATACACGAGGAGAAGTATTGGCACTTTTGAATCTTTATCCCTTCGAGCAATACGTTCATTGGGAGAAATGCACGTAAGTTTATATTAAAATATTGTTTTTATAAATTCTTAGACAATGTTTTTAAAAAAATTTTTTAATTTTGTTTATGGAAAGACACGAGAACAAACAGATGTATTGTCGAGATGGATGCAGATGCGAGCAACAATATCGACTTCATCGATTATTAGCTTATGACCCGAACAACGAATGCCGTGGTATTTTCAGCGACTGGTTTAAATTTCCAAGTTGCTGTGTTTGCCGTTGTTACGATTTGCCTCTTGAATTTCGCGTAACATCACGCTCTCCTCGCACTCAGAAGCAACGAATTAAAGTACAATCACCTCGATACACATAAAGAAACTAATTTTTTGGTCGATAGAAATTTCTATTAATTTCATACACACTATTGTGAAAAACGTAAATGTTTTGTTTTTATAATTCATTATTTGGATTAATGGATATAATAAAATTGAATTTTAAATTTAATTTAAGAATGGAGAAAAATTATTATATTAATTTATAAATTTTTAAAATTTACTGGAAAACTGAATGAATGGCTCCAGCCTAGTCAAGAAATTTAGTCTTCGTTATTGTTATTTATAACAAGGAAGAAATTCTGTTTGATAGAATCCATTTGCCATAGCCATTTGTAGCGTTATATTTTGTAAATATAAATAATAAGATGAAAAAAATAATTCATGAAAAGAAGTATATATTGTTTTGTAGTAAACTGGTGCCTCGATTGTTATAAATCTCAATTTATATTATCGTTTGTTCGATAGATATTAAGTTGTTATATATTTGTATAGATATTTACACGTACAAGTCAAAAGTTGACTTAAACAATCATAATCGACAAACGTGTAAAATCAGAAAATATTATTGTTAATATTATTTAATGAACATTTTTATAAATTAAAAATTTTAAAGAAATATAATATTTATATTTTGATTATGTCTTCAATTTTTTTCTTTACAGAATAATCTGATTGTCACGTTTTTCTTTACAGAATAATATTAATTTTCATATTTTAAGACTTGCGTATGTAATGCTTGTTAAATATTTTTTACAAATAATCACAAATGAATAAGGCTCGTGAACGAAACTATATTATAAGCCATATCTTTGTTGCATTTATTCAATATGATTTTATTATTTACATTTGTAACATGTAACGTAAATCTCGGTAATGGAGCATTATTTATATATTTTGTAACACTAAATCATATTTTATAGTTATTCATAATGTTAACAATCATAAGAGTATAATTATTTATTCATAAGAATGCGAATTTTTACATGTTTTGTAACTAAAAAATTAATGTGAAAATGATCAAATAATTGCCACTGTTACAATTATTATATTATATTATATTATGGAATTTTTGTTATTATTAAAAGAAAGTGAAAATTATAAAATTACATAATTATAATAATCTTGAATTTTGTGTATTACTTCTATCTTATCTTATCTTATCTATTTGGATGATGAAAATAATGAAAAAGTTTTTCGTTAGAATCGACTTTATTTCCTTTCTCTCTTACATAAGACAACTTGTACGTTTTACAAGAAAGAAGACTTACAAACAATAACGAACGTCGATATTTGGGTATTCGCACGTGTTTGCCGTAATAACCTCACACGAATACACCGAATCCATTCCTTACATCATACATATTAATCAATGTGTCACATATACATATATATATATTATATCATAATATTACAAAGATTGTATCATCTGTGTCGCATTTCAAATATATGTATGTACATATCACATATACATATACATATGTATATGTACACACATATATTTCAATATATGTATTTTGTTAAGTTGTTTGTATCATATTAAAAGACATATGCTTATAAATAGAAGTATATATGTATTTATAAATTACGAGCTAGAACATTTGGTATCAAAACCATTGCAAAAGAGAGGGAGGGGATCAGATGACACAATACGGTATTTTATATATTGTTAATTGTTTCCAAACAATGTATAATTGAAAAATTAGTCGCTAGAATGGCAAAAAAACCATGTTTTGCTCATTCTTCTAATAATTATAAATAAATTACAAATTATATATATAACAGATTCTTGAAGAGACCGACAGACTTTTTTTTTTTTATCAATATATTGTAATTTTCCGTATAAATTATTTAACTAACTGTGAATTGAATAAATTTTAAATTGAGATATTAATTACTATTACGTACACGCAAGCACATAAGGGCAACTTCTATCTTTATTGTATAATTAAATTTTTTCAATATTATCGTAATTTTTCGTACCAAAAGTGTTATAAATTCCTTTAAATTTGTATCATATTTGACGATTGCAATATTTTTTTTTTTTTTCTCGTTTTACTCGCTATAACGTTGAAAAATCAATCGATATCAAGTGATATACTAACACATGGCATGTTCAATTCATACGATCGGTAAAAGATTTCAAAAATAGTAAGGATTTCACTGAGCGTGAAAATAGTGTTATCATTATTGCATACGTATACATTCATATTAAAGTCGAATGAAAAGTCATGAAGGTTTTTTCTTTTAAAAATATCTTCGGGGCAGTCGATGCGCGTGGCAGGAATAGACATATAGGAAGACTTACTTTTCTTTTAACAGGAAACAGCGTGAAACTTGGACAGTTGGAACGTGTGTCAGGTTTATCGGTTGTACGGTATATCGGCATACGTAATTATTGAGCTACACATACAACTTGAATTTTATTTAAAATTCAAGCGAAACTCGCACACTGTAAATCGAATCCTCTTTTTTTTTTTTAAATAATGTGATTGTGTAAACAATCAAATAAAATAATCAATTCCTGAAAAATATTCAAACAATTCTTTTCAAAATAAAATTACATTTTTCATAAAATTACGTCACAAATTTTTCGTCCTGTATAACGTTCAAATTCAAAATTGAATACAACTCGAAAAATAAAATTAATAAAGTTTCATTTTTCTAAAGTTATTAATATTTACATCACATTCGAATAAATTAATGCTCAATGATAATGAACAATCGATACTTGCGATTTGCTCTCATTCCGAATATTCGGAATATTTCTAACCGCTAATTTCGTCCCTCGTACCGTCTGAGCGTATACACCAATTCGTATAAAAAATATTTGCATCTTAATACAATCACAAATTTCATGCTGCTTATACGCGTCGATATACATATTGATCACAGATTTTTGAAATATCCTATCTGTTCAATGCTGTTAACAAAAGAGACTTTTTTTTTTTTTTTTTTGTTAGAAAAAATGCTACAATCGCCATATCTGTGCTATGCACTTAATTAGTTATCGAGCACATATAGAAACATTATATTAATAGTTATGCACGCATTCACTGTTAAAGCTTATGTATAGAAAGCATATTGGTGGGAAAAGTCGGAATAAGTAATAGAAAAGAATAATAATTTTTTTTTCTATACATAAATATACATTACACGATATTAGTATCGATCGACAATGGAAGTGTTGGACGTCTTGATTACAACCTTAATGATTAGAATGATGAAAATGCAAAAAAATTATTTTGTATAATAAATAAATATTTCTAATATATCTTTCTCTGTCTCGTTCGTTAGTGTGTAATTTTCCATTTACAGAATAAAATTATTAGTAAATAATATTGTAATGTTTTATAAATACAGAAAAAAATAAAGAATAAAAATATACATATATATATATATATATATATATATATATATAAAATTAAACATGCAAAATAAACGAAACGATTCGAACATGCTGGATAATTACTTTAAGAAAACAAGAAAACACGTTTATATTCTGCGAATAAACGATCAAGTTTATTGCTGATATTATATTAAGGTTTAACTATAAATAATAAATAAATTTAAAAAGTAATAACTTAATAAGGGGATTCTCTTTCATATGTGTCAATAATTTTTATGTGTGTTTGTTCGTGGAAGCATTAGTGGGCAAATTGCGAATCAATAAAGATAAAAAAAATGATCATTTAAGATTCACTTAAAAATAAAAAAAACGAAGAAACTTTCTCTTTATACAATCCATAATACATTACGCAAATATGCTACATACGTATTTACAATACATTTATAAAATGTAATGTTATATTATCATAATATTATTAAATACATACCAATGAATATTATTTAAATAATATTACGTGTATAATATAACATCATTCAACAAAAAAAAAAATTATTTACAATCGAATTTTATCGATTGTAATTATATTAATTTCCTTTTTAACCTAAACATATGTAGTAATTTCTTTTTCAACCTAAACATTCGTTACATTCGACAATAATATCTTTACAAAATAATTTTCCCACCACGATGCATTTTATTTTATTTGTTTTCTTTTTTTTTTCTCTCTTTCTTTTTTTTTTATTATTTTTCTTTGCAATATGTACGTTTACTCTATTACTCTGTTGTTAAATTATTTATATAACTTTCTCTACGAACAATTCATCTGCGAGAATAATAACGAGAAAGTTGAATAAATATTTTGGCAGTGAATGCGTTTTATAAACGATACAACCGTGTATTCCGATTTTTTCATTTGTAAATAGAAATCTCAACAACCTATGGAGCATAATATTTCTTTCTCTACTAGTTATTCAATAATTATTAAAAAAAAATTTTCCCCAACTCTATTTCCGACAAAATAGACACAGACTTGATTGATGATTGATTGATTTGTAAATCAGTCTAGGTTAATCTGCGCTTAGCAACTATGCAATTCCATTTTATAATAATGCACTCTGTGTATGTAAAAAGACAACGATATAGAAACATGATCATTAAAAGAAGAACTAGAAATGCCGCTTTGCCGTAACCTAACTTTTTTTTCACAAAATTTTCTTCCAATTCTAATATTAACTATTCTTTTCATCGATCTTTTCAGCGCACGATTTTCTTTTTCATAATTATATTTCATTGTTTCTTCTTCGAAAAAAAGAAACTTTTTTATATATAAATAATAATTCACAAATATTTAAAAATTTACACAAGAACTTAAACTCTACGAACGAACGAACTGTTATTTATCGACGACTATCTGGATATTCTGCACTGAAAAATACTTAAATCCGATTTAACTAAGTTCGCAGCACTGTTACATTTGTTACAATAATTTTTTTTTTTTTTTCTTAAAGAAAAATGAATTTCATTATCGATGAGGTAATACTTTGATTCGGAGACGGTTCTACCGACAAGGAAGAGAGACGAAGAAGACAGTTTACATGCCCGGTTAATAAATATTGATATTTAGAGAGAAAAATTAAACCTTAAAATTTAGAAGAACCAATGCCTTTCTTTGTTACGTTTGAAAATGAAAAATCGGTAAGTAAACTATTATTTTTTTCCCGCA